ACCCAGCCCATCACATCTGATCGCTTGGCCCGCTCAAAGTAGACCAAGGCACATTCTTCCTTGAGCACTTCTTGCATTCAAGAGCATCCAAAGCCAAAGACCTCATTTTGTGGCCAGGGCTTGAATGTCGCTGAATGTCGCAGGCGTAAGCGTCACTTTACAGACCTCTTGGGACCTTCTATCTTGACGCTTCAAAGAACAAAATCATGTTTTGAGATGATAGAAGCTGACTCCAAGCTAGACTACTGCCTTCCTCCGAAAGGTGCTCTTCCTGGCCATGTACTCAAACACTGCTTTGGTGTGGTGGAACGTCATTTAGAAAGAGCTTCGCCTATGACATACAAAATTGGCTATACACACAATGCTCATGGCAGATTCTACAACACAAAGTTTGGATACTGTACGGAATGGAAAAACCGATGGGAGGGGATGGTCGTAGTCTATGCATCCTCGGATACGGTCTCTGCAAGCTTTGTCGAAGCAGCGATGATTCAGCACTTCATGGGCAGCCCGTCTGAAAACGCTTGGGACATGAAAAAATGTACATGTATCAGCAATATGCCTTTTACTTGTTTCTAGATCCCCTTGCCGTCTACACCAGCTTAGGTATGCAAGGGTGCAAGAACGAGAGGGACGGCGGTGAGGGCGTAGTTGAGAGCGACGATGGACCGTTCTTAGTGTACTATGTGTTCCGGTCATTCCGGAGGCCAAGTAATGCTCCGTTGCTGATGGGGTGTGCTGTATAGTTGTTCTGCGCTGAACCATGCACATTCATTGACGCTGTTCATTGCTCATGCGGATGGAATAAATGCAAAGCCAAACATCGCACACAGAACCCTTCATTGTGAAACAGTTTCAGCCGTTTCGACAGACCATGATTGTTTGTATATCATGCATCACGTGTATATATGCATGGACCAAGCTGGATCCAACTTAGGCTGGTTGATGCGATCGACGTGGAGAAAGGCAACGTGAAGGGACCGTTTCTTGGAACAATTTTTTGGGGGACGTTTGATGCAGATCAATGTTGAAGCATATGTATCCATGGCTCCATTGATCTTTTGCACACAGTCTTGTGAATGCTTGCCGCTTGGAATTGCGATAGTGCCAAACCAAAGGTGTGTGGATTTTCTCACGCTTGATGCTGACTACAAGCATCTCGTCGACATAGCTTATGTTCGCATGTGCATAAACATTGCATGTATATAAACATGCATGGCCAACAAAAAGATGTGAATTATGTGGTTCATTCATTTGAGGATGTACTTGAGACTCTTTAAGGCAAATCAAGAAGGATGCCGCGAAGGCAAACAAAACCAATGGCAAAAGTGGCAACGGCAAAGGCCGAAAGCCCAAAGAGGCAAAGGGGAGTTCCACCAAACCTGGCCCAAAGGGCAAGGCTAAGAAGCTGGAGAAGAAGTCTGCCAAGGCTTCAACTGAGGCCGCTGGCAATGCTGAGACTTCGACTCGTGGTAGCCGAAAGCGTACAAGGTCCAAGAAGGCCTGATCAGGCACCGTGGTACAGAAAATTTGATCGGTGTTGTGCGGGCTTTCCTGCATGCACACAATGCCCATGAACTTTTGAAGTGGGGACATCATAGATCGAGCGCTTTAGAACACCTTTGTGCACTGAAGGGCAATATTTGCCCATGGATGCGCATGTATAAGCCATGCAGGGGGATGGTGATGAACACAAAGGTGCATAGAAAGCGGCGTAAAAATGACCGGACAGCAAAACCACTTGGGGCAATCCGATCTAACAGCAATTCGATCGAGCAGCGCAATCCGATTCATATATGTCGATCTGGTATGCCTTCTATGTGGTCTCGTCATTTATGCCAGGTCCATGCCGAAAAGCGAAGCTCTTGGCCTGGAAGTATGGCCGTGGAGATGCTCGGCCACAGGTCGCCGCGAGTCGCCACGCAGTCTTTGTGCGGGCATGGGGAAGCTAACCCGGATGGGATGAACAAATATATGAAACAGGTGTATGGGCCTCTATAGTTCCCATGCAAACATGTCTGAGGTATAGTACGTGTGTTATATATTGTTGGAGGGACTTTTGAAAGATCAAGTGTTATATAGGAAACAGTGCCAACACATTCCATGACATTCCTACAAGGACTCCTGCGTTGACATCGTTCGATCTGCCAAAGCGGATGTTCATGACCGTGCTGATGAGCTACCAGAGGGCAGCGAGGCTCGTTGCTGTCCCGTGCTGAAAGCTTTGCACGCGGTAACGGAGAAAAATGCAGTCCCTCGGACTCTTCATCACCAATTTTCCAGACTATTTGTTTTATATAGATCACCCGCAAATTATATACTGGCAAGGTGTTCGGTTAATAGGTCAATGTGGCATCGAATTCTTTCTTGTGCAACTGCCACAACACTTATATAAGGAAGAGGGCGTGTCTCGAATTTTCTCCAAGTATGGCATGGTCTATCCTGTGGAACTTAGCTACAGCCCCCTTGGAGACATTGATCAGTTTCCATGGATTCGCCCATCCAAGCTGTTGAAAGCTATGTCTACCACAGGTGACTTGCGTTTGGTGCTGGGAGGGATCCCCACAATTAGAGACGCGAAGAATGCTTTGGAAGCATTCTGGTACCATTTTGGGATGGTCTTTCCAGAACACGGTGCAATCAAGAAGATCAAGAACTCACAGGGAACAATTACACCATCACAGCTGCTGCCAATACTGGTACATGGGGATGAGGGCACAACGTATAAGCGAAACGGTGTCCTCATCATACAATTTGCTGGTGTGATTGGGCATGGAAGCCGACACAACAGGCCCCCTGATGAATGGTACAAAGATCTAGAGGCTTGTGGGATTCCTATCAACCTGTTGAAGAACGCTATGCAAAGCAGATTTTTGAGCTTTGTTTGCCCCAAGGACCGTGGTCGACAATTGCAAAAAAACAAACAATTTTGACTTTCAAGTGAGGGGGGCCTGAGACATGTACATAAATCTAATTTCTCTTGCGTTTGGCCCTGTATAGGAGCTGTACCAAGACGACCCAAGCATTTTCGCGGAGGTCATCAGATTGGTTGTCGATGATTGGAAGCACCTTGAATCTGAGGGGATTCAGATGCCAGGACAGTGTGAGCACACTGTGTATCCAGTTGTATTGGGCAACAAGGGCGACTGGTCATATCTAGTTCCCTGGTGGTCCTGGTTCCAGCTGTTCTTTTTCCATGGTCGCTTTGTTTTGGTGATCTTTGGGGTGATTGTCAAACCAAGAGGTTCTGTGTTTGAGAAAGCAGTTGTTGCAAGGTTGTTGGACCCAGTTTAGGTTCAATCAGCGAATTTGGAGAGATCGTACAGGCGTGCTCCAAGAGGTGCTCAGCAAGCGAAGAAGTACATGAACAGTCCCCCAGGAATCTGTCATTTGTGCATGGGCGGCACCAAAGAGGGAGATTGGGAAGACCTGACGCTTGTTGTGTGGATCGAGGAGATAGGAACATGTTTTACTGTAAGCTGTTTCTTTCTCGCTTACCTTTTGCATGAGGGAACCCTCATCTTTGTTTCTTATAAGATTTTTGGGTGCACTTAAACATCTACGACTTGTCCAGATGGATTGCAGTAATTCGTTGGTTGCCCACACCGTTAGTTGGCTGCTCAGGAAAACATCCCGACAGTTGATCCGACGTGCAAGACTCTTTGGTTCCCCACTGCCGTGGTCAGAAGAACCTCCATGGACACAGTTGCTACACGATGAAGCTCCAGGTGGCCTCCAACGCTTCCATAAGATAGACGTGTGGCATTCATTTCACATGGGAATTGGAAAGTCATGGCTGGCATCGTGCGTCAGCTTGCTCCAGTATGTGACTAGGGAATCAAGTGTTGATAAAAGGGTGGCGGTGCTCAACGATGACTTCTTAGATTTTTGCACCGAGCACAAGAAGGTGAAGTACCTGAAAAAGCTTGAGCCCCACACCTTCAATTTGAAGGGGACCGAACCTGCCGGATCATGGAATAAGGCCCATGTAACGGCCACCCTCATGGAATGGATGGAATCCTATTGCCAAAAGAATGAGGCTGTTTGCGCGGCTCACGAGGATCTCCGTTTCGTTGTTTCTTGTACAGGTCATGTAAGGTTTTTGGAAGTTGTGCTTCACCAACTCCCTGTCAAATCCTTCACCAAAGTTTTGACCCATTTATACACCAATAAGTGTCCATGAGCCTGCTCCATCCTGATCTGAGGCTTCTGGCACCAAAGCGATGAATTTCCTGCTCAGATCTTTGTTCAAGGAGGCTATGTGGATTCCAAAGGATCGTGCTGAGCCACTGATCAAAGCTGGGAATCACTTTTTGGAGGCGTACCAATTTTTGGGACACAGAAGCCTCTTGCACGGGAAAACATACTTTCCAATGTACCCGAAGTACCACATGTTGCAGGAATTGTTGGAAGAACTTTTGTTCCAGTGCCAGCGGAGTGGATGGTGCTGGAATATCATCTGTGATGCATGCTTCCAAGAGGAAGATTTCGTTGGCAGAGCAAGTTTTTTAACGAGGTGTGTGTCAGCGAGGAATCAAGCGCTGAGAACATACCAGCGGTACCTAGCGCAGGTACAAGTCTGTTGGAGCGGTCGTTGAATGAAGGCCGTGGCTTTTGGAAGTCCGCTGTAGGGGAGAGCAGTGCAAAAGAACCGCTTGAGGCTGGGATCAATACTCGATTATATATACAAAAGGGATGAGAATCTGAGGACTTCCCGAAAGTTCTCGAAAAATGACCCTGGATGACAACGGACGATAATAAGCGTAATACACGATAATATCCGTTCGAAAGTATAAATTGTGATCAGAATGAAGAATAAGAACTTATTCCAATCACAAGTTATAATTTCAACTTATTTGTGGATCCAGGTATGTATTAAATGTCTCCAAAAGGATAGGACGTCGTGACATCATAAAGCTAAAGAATCGCAACTTCAGATTCCAGCTCGTGCTTTTGGTGTGGCCGCACCCCGCTGCACTCTGAGAAGGGACGGCTTTCAGGCAATGTGCGTCTACATGATCATCGAAGTAATGGCTGAGCTAAAGCAGACGCGTGGCGGCAAGCGAGCAAGGATACTTGCGCATGTTCCGTTCGTCTTCTCTCCTCACTATAGTGCTCAGAATTCCACTGAAGACTATGTACTCGTACCTATTCCGTCAAATCAGCCTCAGATGCTTCAACTCCCGTTCCGCAGAAAGAAATCAGACGTTGGTGACACCTCGTATCCCTCGTCACGAGGTACAAGCCGGCGATCAAGTTCGCGAAGTCGGCCTTCGAACGCTTTGGAGAGCTCGGGTGTCAGCTGGGCCAGGGGATGGTGAAGGACGCCATGGGCAGGGTCTACATCGTCATGGACAAACCCGACAAGGCTCGCCCGGGGGAATCGTGCGAAGGACCGCAGAGGACCGCGGAGGACCGCGGACGAAGGAGCGAGGCGTGCAAGCGCCCTTGGCTGTTTTTCAAGGTGTGAAGATGGGGGAGATGACATAGGCCTTCTCGAGGCTTTGATGGTTTCCACAGTTTCCACTGGTTTCCAGCCTTCCCAACATCCTCCAACTTTCTCCATGAAAAAGCACTCCCAAACACCAATCAAACACCCACCACTTTGCCGGTGTGGAGCCTGCACACGCCCTTTTTTGAGGCCATCGAAGCGGTGGATGAAGCCAGAGAAATTGCGGACCGTTTGGGAGACAAGCGATGGAGCGCGTGCTTCACTTAGCGAGAGAGACAGAGAGAGAGAGAGCTCACAACATTCGGCCTAAACGGCGCGTAAAGAGGCGTGCAGTGTTTGGCCGGCGGTCCTCAGGAAGCTCCTTTTTGGAGTGGCCCAGGCCCACATGAAGGCGAAGGAGTGGTGAGCAAAGAAAGCACTGCAAAGAAAGTGTGCATCAGCTTTGGCACCTGTTGGATCTCCACTTCTACCTTGACATTGATGGATACCAAGATACCACATGAATCCACATGACCTGACTCTGGGAACGAGTGGATCTCCACTAAATTCTCCTAACGGTTAGGAGTCGTCCTCCCGGTGGGGAGGACGCCCGACTTCTCTCCCACGTCAGGACACCAATGAGGCCATTGAGACATTGGATAAGACCATCGGATTGGCGCAAGCTGCTGGAGACATGCAGGACGCCGACACCGATTTGAGACCGATGCTGTGACTTCGGTGTCGCGAAGAGACTGGGGACGGCTGTGACTACAGCCCAAGCGAGTTGCCACAACATCAGCTTTTGCAGCTTTGCTTCAGGACTACTCCCCTTGTCCAAGTGAACTACCAACATCCTGCTCTGAACAAATCTTGCGACCGTACCTGCACGTGCGACCATGGTACCTGAGAGATCTCACCGGTGCGTTGTTGTTCCTTTCCTTTTTCCTTTCCGCATGCGACCAGAACCGACCCGGACCGTCTCTCTGACCGGACCGGTCTCTCTTCGCTTCATGAGGAGACCTCCAGGTTGCAGCAGAACCTCATCGATGCTCTCCTCTTCCGACAGAGGCTTGTCGGGCACGCGACGTTTCACGCCGGCAGGTCGCAGCAACGGGAAGAAGAAACGACCAGCTTCTTTTAGGTGAGGGCGTTGATGTGCATTGAGGTGAGGTGTGGCTGGGGATAGAGGAAGTACCGGTTCTACCACTAAAACTAACACCAGGGTGGTGCCAAAGCCATACAAAGCCCACATTTGAAACCACCACAAGTAGTTCGCATAATAAAAAGATGACTCTTGTGGTTTTCGTTGGGTTTCGACCCAGCGCTTCGACTCGCGAGGAATCCCAAGGCGGCTCTTCGAGTAGCGAAGGAAGCCAGAACGATGGCACAGAAGAATGGAGACAAACGCGCTGAAGCCATGCTGGGATCTCAGCGACATGTGGTACATGGATGATTATGGACGATTATGGTAATTAGAATGCATTGATTGATCAAACAGGATTTGGCCAGGGTGGCTTTTGCATGGAATGTCAAACAAAGTCAACCTTGAATAGATCACTTGGCATTTGTGGCAGAAGAGTCTGAAGGCAGAAAGTTTTCAGTCGACTAATTGCAGGGGGACTCTTGTGGTGCAGGAAACTTCTACTCACTACGGCATGTTTGAGATGAGCACTAGTCCAAGCGTGGACTTCAGATGAGGGGTCAAGACATCATTAACTATATATATATACTTTATTTGAGCACGGAAAGATGCTGTGCATGGCCGCGTGTGTTCCAACATTCTTTTCGGGGCTTAAACTTCAATCCCTCACCCCAAAGACCTTTACAGCAACGTTGGGGACCAGTTCATCCGGAAAGCCAACAACAAAGCTAGGCGCCGCTCGTGCACGACTCACTCCTGCACCGGTCACCCCTTTTTACTCCGACGGCCTCGACGGGGTCGAGGGACCTCCGCTTCAGGACCATCCTGCGCGAAGCAATGGCCCAGGGCTCCATGGGGAAGAAAGAGGATGCGTTGAAGACGCTTGGTTTGGTGGAGAAACAGACGAGGAAGGGGGGGCGTAAGTCTCAAAGAAGAAGAGGCTTTTGGTTCTTCAAATCGTAGTTTGTTTCTTCAAAAGAACTTACACCTCACATGGAACGGGCTTGCTGACATGACAGGCCAGCGCGTGGGGATTGCAGTCCAACATCGGCGGCGGTATTGGTTGTTTCATTTGTTTCTTCACGTTTCTTCCATTCAACCAGTTGCAGAACATACATTTTTCATTATGCCACTATGCCACTATGCACATTCATGAGCATAAGTACATTGTCCACCTATTGTTCTTTTGCAAGGTGGAATTTTCCTCTTCGTTTGGTGGCTCGACTCCCAAGTTGACCAATTTGTTCAATTTTTGGCAACCCCCAGACTCCAGACACACTAGATGGGAAAACTGAGCCCTTCGAGCCTGGTTCATGGTTCAGACTACAAGTACCGCAGTCTGCATGTCATGGACCAACCGGTGCGACAGGTCCGGCGGTCGCGCCGCGAAGCGAGGTTGGCCAAGCAGGCTCAGGAGTTCTTCCAAGAGTCTTACTGGCCCCGTGGAGAGGCTGGTGCGTTGTTCGATGTTCACAGATGTTCACATGGCCATGACGCAGCGAGCAAATGGTGGATAGCCGGTGGGCCCTGTCCTGTTCAGGGGTTCACATGCTAAAGTGGAAAACGCTTTCGAAACATGACTTGAACGCTCAATGATCCCAATCCCAATGTCATTCCATGACCAGGCTCAATGTCTTCATTTCATGGCGGATTTGCGCCCGGCTCCTAGTTGAAGTGGTGAGCAGATGGGTGGTGCTCTGAGGCGCCTCAGACCCTGAAACAACGGAGGAGGGATTCCGTTCAACGTTTGGGCTCTTCAACATTCTTCAGTCAAAAAATGGGTGTATGAAAATAGGGAGGACCTCAACCAATAGATTTTTGGTCTAATTTGTGTTCTTCCAGGGGTTCTTTCGGAGGATTTTCATGCACAGCCGTGTCAACAAACATCTTTGGCAAGAGAATGTACTGGCATCATCTACGTCTATGTCTTTCATCCGTGCCAATTTATACGTTTGGCCTGAACATGCCTGGACTAAATTCGACTGATCTTTGGCCCTTCTCTTTGGAAGTATGAAGCAGTCCAAGAGATGCATCTTCAAACATGTCAAAATCAAACCAGTCATTTATTTCTTCGAACAGACCTCCCAAAATTTGCCTCTTCCTTCCCTCATTTCTCGATCACTCCATCACTCACTCCATCGCTCCGACCCCTCCGTCCCGAGTCACTCAGGTGGTCAAGCGGGTGATCTGGACCAAGCCTTGGAATGTGCCGAGGAGCGTCTCGCGGTCCTGCGGGGCGTCCACGACCTCTCCATGGAGGCAGTGGGCGGGACCTCGGCGGGGGTGCGGCGCAAAAGGGTGTCTGGGGTGTCACGGACACGGAGGGGATGAAAGAGTGGTCCATCGAAATTGGGAGGAAGTGGTGAGTGAAAACTGGCTGGTCTAGATCGATGACTTGGGGATCAAATGTCCATGTTTTGTGGCTCCCAGCAAGGAGAAATACCCTAAAACAACTTCAAAGTCATAAGACTCAGGGCATTTTTGGATTTGGGGCCATCATGGGCCATCTAGATATGACACGCCATACGCTATCTACATATTTTTGTGTGTGCGAGGGACTGGCCGCCCTGCTTGTCAGGCCAATGCCATGATGCAACTGGCTCAGTTGCACATGAAGGACACAGTTGGCTCAATGAAGCAATCACTGACTGGCTGGCTGGCTAGCTAGCTTGCTGAGCTTGCTGAGCTTATAAAGCTTGCTTATAGCTTGCTTTGCTCTGCGTTGCCTTGCTTCGCCTTGCTTTGCTTTGCGTCTCTTTGCCTTGCTTTGCTTTGCCTTTGCCCTGCCTTGCCTTGGGTTGCCTTGCGTTACCTTGGCTTGCTTGTCTTACCTTGGCTGCTTGCGTGCTTGCGTGCGTGCGTGCGTGCGTGCGTGCTTGCGTGCTTGCGTGCTTGCGTGCTTGCGTGCTTGCGTGCTTGCGTGCTTGCGTGCTTGCGTGCTTGCGTGCTTGCTTGCGTGCGTGCGTGCGTGCGTGCGTGCGTGTTTGCTTGCTTGCTTGCTTGCTTGCTTGCAAAGACACACACACACAGGGTCATGCATTTTGACGTTTTGGAATCAAATTTGAGGTAGTTCTTGCAGACAAGGACACCACAGTGAAGAAGACATCAAAGAAGTGCAAGATTCTGTAACTGTCAGCAATATATAATATTTATATATATACACTGTACAATACGTATTGTCAGACCAAAACTCGACAAAGGTAGGGATGATCCGGTGGATTGGGCTCTCACTGTGAATGACAACTTGCAATCAATTCAACTGAAGCTCTGCTTCTAACAACACCTGTGGTTTCCTCCAATCCCCTGCGCTGCCCGTAGCTCACCTTTCTCTCCTATGGCGCTCCGGCGCGGTCGACCGAGATCCCTGATCTCGAGTGGTAACAAAGGCTCACCACCCGCCCTCCCAATCTTGAGAAGGAGATGGATGCGAAGCACACACCCTCATGAAGCGGCTCGAACATGCGACAGGTTGCAAATGACATTCCCAAAACTAATTTTATTTGTCAAGCATGTTTCGAAAGCTTCGTTCCCACATGAACAAAAACTATACTCCTCTGAGTATACATGACCCTCTGAATTTTATTTGCTTTGAAGTCTGTGCAGTGGTGTTGCGCACTGACCAGTTCCCGTGGCTTCAAAGCTGGGCATTCCTTCTCTCAGACTTCGCTGAGTTCTTGAAGGTGCTGTGGTGAAGATCTCGCTAGACAAGCGGAGACGTCTTGGCTTTTCTCTCACTTGCTGAGATCAGTTGTCGGCTGAGGATGGCTTCGAATCCATTTGAGGCGGGATTTGTGGTCGGACCTATTCTTCAGGATCTTTTCTTCATCATTCGACTGGTACCTGCCTACCTGAAGGACCTCCCGGAGTGATGATGTGTCCATGACCTTTGTTAAACAATCTGCGACTTGCGCATTGGATGGAACCCATCGAATGGCCACTCCAGTGGCGAGGTGTTCCTTGATCAACCGAGCCTGCAACAATGTCCGGAATTCCTGACATGCAGGAGGAGCTTTTCTGCTGATGAGGTCGTAAAGGCTTTTGCAATCCGTAGCAATGAGTGAATCGGCTTTGCCTATCACTTGGAGCTTTTCAAGATTTTCACTCAATGATGTGTTTGGTTCTATTAGACCTGGTTCATCTTTCAGGGCCGAAAAGGCGGGAGGTAACCTTTGCAGTGTTTTATCCCCCAATCTCCATTGGCAACTTTTATCGAGAAGCCATCCCCAATAGAGACGGCGCCATGCGAGAAGATCCATTGCGCCTGCTAAAGCCATTGCCTCTGCTGAGAGGGTGCTCACGGCTACCTTCTGTATTTTCTTGGAGGACCACAGTATTAGGTTCACGACACTTTTGTGATTTTGTCCTATACATTCATGGGCTGTCATGATCATGAGTCCTTGGTGAGATGATTGCACTCTTTCGGAAGCAAAAGAAGCGTCCGAGAAGGCCACAAATCGAACATCTTCTTTGGGGGTATATTGATACGGACATTGTACTTTAGAATGTACTTTGGCATCATGTAGAAGTTTGTTTCCTTCGATGAGATCACTGATTTGGCCGTTGTTTATTTTGCTTTGCAAAAAGGACAGTCGGCCCCCGAGATCTGGTCGTGTATTCACTGCAGCATATTGAAGACTTCCGATGAGACCCCGAAAAGCTTGTCGCTCTTCCTCATTGATGGGAGCATCAGGTTGTTTCCTTCTGTCTTTGTCAATGCTGATGGGGCCTATATCTTTTACATATTGGGTCTGGTCCACTGTTATGGTGTAGTCTTCTTGTTGGTTGATTTGAAGACCCGTGAAGACGAAATTCTTTTGCTTTCTACTTCCAAATGGAAATATCTTCTCCAGTTGATTCATCTTCTGGTGAAAGAAATAACCCGTCATCCACATGGACCCCGACGAAACTTCTGTGGTCGGGTTCCCGGCTGGCTTGTCTCCCACTTCCTTTCATTTGTTTCCCACTTCTTTTCATCTGTCTCCCACTTCCTTTCCACTTCTTTTGCGTTTGTCGCCCGCTTTTCCCCAAACAGTTTACTGTTAGGGGTTCAATTCTTTCTTAAGATGTGTCCGCCCTTTGTGTCACTGCTGGTGTCCGCCCATTTCCACTGGCCATGTAGCATGTCTATTCATTTGTCTCCCAGGTCTGTCACGCAGCATTTCTTTCATTTGTCTCCCAGGTCTGTCACTGGCCGTGCAGCATCTCTATTCATTTCTCAGGTCTGTCACTGCTGGCGTTCGCCCTTTTCCGCTGGCCATGTAGCATTTCTTTTCATTTGTCTCCCAGGTCTGTCTATTCATTTCTCTCCCAGGTCTGTCACTGCTGGTGTCCGCCCTTGTCCGCTGCATTTCTATTCATTTGTCTCCCAGGCCTGTCACCCTTTTCCGCAGGCCGTGCAGCATTTCTATTCATCTCCCAGGTCTGTCACTGGTGTGTCCTTGTCTATTGGCCATGAAGCATTTCTATTCATTTGTCTCCGTCCGTCACTGCTGGTGCCATGTAGCATTTCTATTCATTTGTTTTCCAGGTCTGTCACTGCTGGTGTCCGCCCTTTTCCGCTGGCCATGCAGCATTTCTATTCATTTGTTTCCCGGGTCTGTCACTGGTGCTGCCGCCCTTTTCCGCTGGCCATGTAGCGTTTCTATTCACTTGTCTCCCATGTGATTTCTTTCTTTTTGTCTTTCAGGTTTGGTGCCTGCGCTGCTGTTTTCTGCCCTGTCCGCTGGAACAGGTTCACGGGTGGGTGACTGTCTCGGGACTGCATTCCTGCCACACTGTGTAACTCTCTCAGCTTTGTTTTCCTTTTCGGGCAAGCGTTGGATGAATGACCGGATTGGATTTCGGCGGCGTGGCAGCGATCTCTTTGTTCAGTTGGGGCGAGGCGCGAAAGATCAATTTCATGTCACATCCTTCGCTCCTCATGTTTTTTTTCATTGTCCTCACGTGGTCAGCTCCCGCTGATTGATCAGCGTGACCAGCATCATGTTCGCGCTTGAAGAATAATTCCCCAAAAGGCTTACTGCTGGTCAATTCTTTCTTAAGATGTGTCCGCCCGCTCTGTACTGCTGTGTCCGTCTCTGCCTTGCAATCCTTTACATTTGTCTCCCAGCTCTGGGCTGCTGTGGCCGCCTCTGCCTTGCAATCCTTTGTCTCCCAGCTCTGGACGTTGCAAGCTCTAGTTTCGATATTGCAAAACACAAACTGTTTGGGGTCTACGGTGGTGTAACTCATCAAACAAGATGAAACAACACGGGTCGAATGGTGCGGCTTCAAATCCGAGTTCCAACAGGCCTTAGTGAGCTCCGTGAGCCACAACAGTGGCGCATTCACGAGCCCATAGGCTCCCGCCGACAGGCGGCAAATCTCATTCGGCTGGAGGTTCTACCAAACGTGCTTTGGCCTTTCGATTGGCGGACTGACTGGCAGTGCTGAGATGAGAGTTCGTGTCGGCGTAGGAATGTTTGGACCTGTGGTTTCAGCACATGTTGAACACCTCAAATCGTCCAAAGCCTCGAGCAGTTGAGGTTGGCAACCCATTTGTTGGCAAAAGGTTTTCAGTTTGACCGCGCTAGGATGGCCCATGTTCTTGTATACTTTGAGAATCCAACTTCTTTCTTCCGGTTTTAGTGCAAGCATCTTCGGGCCGTGCTTGTCCGCTACTAGGTCGATCGAACGGCTCTTCTGGTTGAGGTCCAGTTGATGCATGCTGTTGAATTGGCTGACCCATGTGCTCCAGTGACAGAGGTGCTTCTTCCGAGTGTTCATGACGACGGCTCTTGAGCGTCTGATCGGAGTTGTCCATGAGTCCTTTTCGCTTTATACTCGGACCTACATCTCTTTCCAGCGCCCGGGTCCTTGCAAAAATAGTCAGGGCGCATCTCGAAGCAGTGCAAGGCCGACGCAGCTTTCTTGCGGACAGGTTCTCCCAGGGCTCCCATGAGTCTTCAGCAGTGATTTTTTTCAAAACGTCGTCGAATGCAGGCAAACTTTCGGAGAGGTGCAACTCCTGGAGAAATCTTTGTATCCGGTCCAACCATCCTATCCATGCCTCGACGCAATACCAGGTGGTTGAAGATGTGATCAGGAAACAACCTCTGGACAGCTTGGATCAGGTGACCTTCGGTGACCACCTTTGGACCAACCCGAGGAGCTTCACTGGCTTCACTGTCTGCTGCTTTCATGATATCGTCCCAGGTTACTTGGTTGGACAGCAGTTGAATTTGGGAGAGACTGCCCTTCTGGCCAAGGCGTCGACGCTTGGTTGGATGATCCTCATCCTTTGCCGCGAAGATTCCCAGCTTCCGAGTTCGGTCTTTTCGAAGACTCTGGATGATTTGTCTTGCAAATTTGCGAGGATAAAGTTCGGTGAACCTTGACAATGACGTGCCATGGCCATGAAAAAACGTGTTACCAGCTATCTGATGGTGCTGGTGGTTTTCTTGGCATTTCATTGTTCAAACTATTGTACAACTCTTTGGATGTGGTGCAAACCACAAAACTCTTCCGCATCGGTTCCTGGGACACGGGTTCACGCAAATTTCCAACTTGGCACAGGTCAAAAGTGCACTGTGAGGTTTCTTGGATGATCGGACGAAAACACAGCAACTTCAACATCTGACAGCCCTGAGGCTGTTCACAGTGGAAATGGCAACCGTTCTCTCCTTGATGTTGACACAAAAATATCGGCAGTGCAATTTGCCAGATATGTTCTTTACGCTGTTTGAGAATTGCCTCACACAAAACTGCACTTTTGCTCATATTGAGGTGGGACCATTGGCAGCAGGGTCCACACGCGTTGGGCTAATCCACACATGCTCCGGTCGATTGAGGGCCAAGTGACGCATCAAGTTTCTTCTACCACTTTGTGTTTGAAGGAGACCCTGCTGAATGCCCTGACGAGTCAACTCGCTATCTTGGGAACGCATGACTTCGAACAGAAAATGTTTTTGAGTCTTACTCTGAATCACCTGGGATATTTGCCGGTATTCTTCATGAAATTGTTTGACAAACCGGGTGCAAATCTTCGTATACGATTGCTGATTGGCGTGGTCGAAATCAACATCGGTAGTGGCTTATCCAAGATACCTGGCTCAAATTGCACAACTGCTCAATTTCCCCGTGACTCAGCTCGTTTCCTCCGTGACCATTGTCCGAGGGCCCTGACGTTCCTGCTTGTTCTCGATGTGATGGATGATCTGACTCAGTGCTGACTTGATGCGAGACATGCGAAGATCCTGCTGTTCTTGATGATGGCCGTCTTGACGCTCCCGGTCCTTGGCGCAGAAGGGCGCAAGTACGTCGATCCCTTGACTTGGGTGGTCATTGGGAGACTTTGATTCGAGGCACTCTCTTCCACTTGCAGTTGGACGTACCGGAGGAACTTGACGCGCTCGATCTTCTGACTGCCCTCGTAGGTTGACGCGAACCATTTCGTCCAAGCTTGATCTTGGAATGCTTGTTCGATGGTTTGGCCGAGCTTGGCTTTCCCAAATGCGATGGGTGCATCTTGAGACGGGCAAGGGGAATCTGATCGATTTCCTGACGCTCTTCGATCTCGCTCTCCTTCTTGACGGCGTTCTGGAATGAGGCGAGCTTTTGGCTGAGGCTGGTCACTGATGCAAGGATCAGCTCTGTTCAGGCACGGTCGGTCTTGAGAGCTCAAGTGCTTCGACTTGGTGCTTTCGACAACGACGGATGCGGTGGTATCAGCCTTTTCTTTATCGGAGGGGTTGGTCTTAAATAGCACGACAGCGTGGCTTGTGACTCAAAACACTGTTCTGTTTCCCGTTTGGACGTTTCATCGGCTGGCAACGGAGTTGGAACTGAAGGATCAGTTTCATCCGAGTGATCTTGTTCGATCCCTGTACCTGCACCATGTCTTCGACATGCGACACGTCCTGCGGCCACAATTAAGATTGGAGTCCATGAGCCCATGAGCGTCAAATTGGATGGTGACTTGGTGGTTTCTAGGTATGACCCGATGTACTTGCTCCACAATGTCTGCAACGATCGCAATCCGAAACCATGTCTTGTGCACGGGCAAGAGCCACTTTGCTGGTCAGAGTCTGATGATTGCCGAAACGGAATACTAACTGACAGGATGTTTTCCTAACTTGGTTTGGAACACGGAGACAGATTTGAAAGAAGCTCAGGTACCTGCTTACTACCAATAACAGTTTGTGAGGCTCCAGGATCTACCACTCCTATCGTTCCGGCTGAGGCGAAGCGTGTGATCGCTTCAAGTGCTGACCGTTCGGCAACTGGCTCCTGAGCTTTCTGTCTAAACTGCGGGAGGTTTTCAGGAACCTGAGTGCTCGGCAGTCTCCTTAGTGCGACGATTTTTGACAGTTTCTCCTTCAGCTTTTCACGAATCCCCAAAATGGCTTGATCTAAAACAGCAAAACATTCCACTGACTTGGACTCCAAAGGTGCACGACTGACTTCAGGGATGTCATTGAAGCAGGAGTTCAACTCGACGACCACCGACGTGGGGATCTGATTGGAGTCGCTGCTCATGGATGTTTTCTCGTTGGGGCGCTCTGCTTTCCAATGTCCCGGTTGGCCGCACAAACGGCGCGAGGAATTGGCAAGCGACGAGGAAGTCCTTTGGATTTCCCTTTGATGCCTTTCCTTTTCCTTTCTTTCCGCCTTTGAACGGTCGGGGAGGCCAGAAACCCCGTGACCTGGTCTTCTCCAAAAGGCGCTTGCGAGCATCCTGGTAGCTGACAAAGAAAGTTGCCAACTCTTTGTCATCTTGTATTGTATCCATCACCGCGTTCTCAAACTGTAAGATGAGGGAGGCGTCATCATCCTCCATGGCAGAGTCTCCAGGCCCTCCTCATCATAGGGTCTTCCATGTCCCAAATGGGTCTCTTCATAGGATTCTTCCTGTTCGTCGACTCCAAATGCCATGTGGTCATATGTTCTTTGGGTCTTCTCCCGTTTGCCGGCAGTATACTCCTGGAAGAAGCTGGACCTGAGCATCCTGATGGCCGCGGCGACCTTCTTCATGTCGAGTTCACTTCCAGCTTTTTCTGCGCCAGATTCAACTAGTACACACTTCTTATCTTCCACGGACAGCTTGCTTCCACGAAGAATTATATATGATTGCACCTCTGCGAGGTTGATCTTTTTCATCAACAGCTCTGTCCACACTACCTCGGACCGAGCCAGGTAGGAATCAGAGCTTTCATCAGGCTTTTGGCTGCAGCGGAACAGGGCTTTTTCAACTATGTCGAATTTGCGTTCCAGGCTCAATTGGCCGAATTGGCCTCCAACAATGTCAACAGTTTGTGCAATGCTCTCAACTGTGCCTGCCAAAAGTTCTTTCTGTTTCAGTTGTAATTTGGCAAATGCAGAACCTTTGCAATTCAGAATGATCCTTGTAGCCAACTCACTTAGCTTCCCTTCCGGCCAGACCTGGGTGAGCAGCTCGATTTTCTGCGACCACTGCTCCACATTGTCAACTGCCGGGTCGAATGAGGGGATCAATGCCGACAACTGATTTCCTGTAGAGGAGCTTCCAAAGATTCTGAAGCTTCTGGCGTAGCTCTTGCAGATCTTTCAACAAAGCTTGTTCAAGAACTCCCTGTGTGATCGCCCAGGTAGCTCCGCTGCCAATGTCAGACCAAAACTCGGTCCGGCACTGGAAGGGATGATCCGGTGGATTGGGCTCTCACTGTGAATGACAACTTGCAATCAATTCAACTGAAGCCCTGCTTCTAACAACACCTGTGGTTTCCTCCAGTGCCGTGCACTGCCCGTAGCTCACCTTTCTCTCCTATGGCGCTCCGGCGCGGTCGACCGAGATACCTGATCTCGAGTGGTAACAAAGGCTCACCACCCGCCCTCCCAATCTTGAGAAGGAGATGGATGCGAAGCACACACTCTCATGAAGCGGCTCGAACATGCGACAGGTTGCAAATGACACATATATATATATACACACATATCAACATATACACATAGCATAAGCATAAGGCAGCAGCAGCAATATATATTACCCTTCCGCAGCAGCCACTGCCACGCATTATTTCATTTTTGCCTTTGGCTTCAAGAGTCTAGCTACGCACTTTGACCAGGAAAAATTAGCCGAACATGCTTAGCGCGTCCATACTCACTCAGTGCAGCCTGAAAACTGTGAGGACGACAATTACCAAGAGGCTGAACGGCTAGCACAGGATGCTGCTGCCCTTGGGAAGAAGGACCGCAACCCCAGGCAGGGGGCATAAGAATGCGCAAGACATTTATTACATGAAAGAGAAAAACTGCGTTCTGAAGGCTGTTTGTTTTTTGGATAGTGTACTGTATAGCTCAAGACTTCAAAGCCGTGGGGAAGGAGAGGAGGTAGATCCGTGGGAAGGAGAGGAATAGATTCTTGACCCAAGGATTTTGATGTTTGTTTGGTGTTTTTCAGGCAATTTTGGAGTCTTATGTTGTAGTTCTGTGTTCGCAGGGCCTACATCCGCAAGCAATCACAACAAACTGTTGGGTTGTTAACACTTATTGTCATTTTTCAACTTCTGAAACAGATGTGGCCAGGGTGCAAGTAGATGCATTGCTTTTGCTCACCCAGCTGAACAACACCAAAGTGCTGGACAAGCTGGAGGAGCCCACGGAGGGAACCAAACACCGGTAGCACGGCGTTGGAAGAGATCCGAGAGGAGGCATATCCTCCGTATACTGTAGACCGTAGACTGGTATACGGTACACATACTGTGAGATGTTTTCTAAGTTCAGCCGGTGCCGTCATGCCCAAGCCGCTCACTGAGAAACTGGGGCAGTCTTCCAGTTTCAGGATGTGGTGGCCAAGCCGAAAGAACACTACATGCAGAAGCGAGTTGTGTTTTGATGGACGACTCAGGTAAAGGGCTCGCTAGTTTCTGTTTCTCAGTCTTTCTTGGCATGTCATGGCATATCCATGTCGAATACAGTTCTACATGTTCTACAGCGGCTTCTCTTACAATCTACGTACCTACCAGCACATCGCGATTTCCGTGCAGGACAAGTCTTTGAAGCCAGTGATCGACCGGGCTGTGCGAACTGTGAACGAGGTTGGCGATGAGCCATTTGGTGATTGGCCGTTTGGGGGTCTTGTTTCGCGAGGACCCCCCGAAAAGTATGTTGTTTGCAGATATGATGGAACATGATGGTGGGAAAAGAATCTGCGCAAAATCTGAGAGATCTCGCAAACAACGCACCCTGAAAATGCCTGAAACACTTGGCTTTGTTTGAGGCATGGCTTTCCTCGGGCGTTTTTAAACGAAGGAAAGACAAACACACACGGACTGTGCACGGTGGGGTCGACCCGTCGCCGCAGGCTCTGCAGGTCGCAGGCAAAGCGGAGAACCGCTCTTTGCGAGCGCTGGTTCTGTTCAAGCGAGCAGAGCGACTTGGACCGAGACATCGGTGCGACTCTTGCGGGCCGGTCAAACGAGCCTTCCTGGTGAAGAGGGATGGTTCCAGTGCTGGCATCTGAAGAAAGTCGAACGCTGCACTGCCAAGCTGTGCAGCTTCTTTTTCACTAGCTGTCCAACTGAGCTTCCAAGTGAGCCAAGGACAATGGTGCTTGCTGGCAGGCAGTGAACGGCCGCGCATGCGCGCGCGTGAGAGCTCCCTGCTAGAGTGATAGCTCTCCAGTGGGGAGGTAGCTCTCCACTAAGGGCCAGTCATGAGATATGATGGATAGCTACCTTCTAGGGGGGAAGTAGCTTCCCAGTTGGGAGGTAGATCCCCAGTCATGAGGAATCTCCCTACTAGGGAGGTAACTCCCTAGTAGGGAGGTAGCATGTTCCACATTGCTTTTGTTGCCATTTTGGCTGAAACTTGGGTCTCTTCTCGGCTTATTTATTTTGTTTGCCTGTTTGAGTGTGTCGTTAGCTCTGAGATGTTTGGTGAGTCCACGTGACAGTGACTAAATACTTGGACAGAATCACCGGGATATTGAGTTTTCGCCACTCGAGGTTCGGTTAAGAAGAGTTGTTGCATCACTAGAGAGTTGAACACTCAGGCTCTTGGACCGTGTTAGAGGAACTTTGCGTCAGAAGCAATGAGTGCCAGCCTCACCCCAAACAACCATTCTGGCGTTGGCAGTGCAGTTCCCGCACGCTACGAAGCTGACTGGGGTCCATGACAAACCTTGTGTCGACGTGTTGTCAAGAATAATGTGGTGTCTCATGCTGTCAGGTGGTCACGTCTTGCACCATCAGGTTTGCGCAATTTTGGAATTCTTTGTTGTTTTCTTGCTTCCCATTCCGCCTTCCACCTTCAGCCGTACGCAGTGCACGCAGTATGCACACCCCGCTTGAGTCCCTGCAGACGATTTCTTCGACGCCCTTGACAGGCACCAAACTGGCCTCAGAGATGTCAAGGAGGCTGCTGCGATCTTCGAGGCGATTGGCCACCGAGTCTTCAATGACGAGAGAGTGGAAACCGAGGTTTCAACATGGAGATGGAAACAAAGGATCAAACTGATTCCATGAAAATTCGTCATGTGAAGTGTTAGAGCAACCACTTTTACTTTGGCTTTAGTCTACGGCATGCTCATGCATGCTGTATTTGCTTGTCTATCATCAGTATTCGCTTGTGAACCCCCCACATAAACGAGATACCTTTGCTTGATGACAACTAAAGTAGTCTGAACGAGATAGTGTGATATGACCTCTTACTTAAGAAGTCTAAACGAGATAGGGCTCCCACAGAATAGATAGTGTTAGTATGTGTTAGTGTATTTGAGTTTAGTACGAAACAAACAGCCGCCGCGCACATGTCCTTCTATGTCCATGTTTAACTTGTTCACTCCTTTTTCCATTTCTTTGCCTCTTCTCCTTTGGCCCTGCGCTTCCGACTTGTGGAGAGCAAACCTCACCAACGCACCGTAGCGTAATGCACCGTGCGTCGGGGCTTCGTCCCAGGAGATGGATCACTATCAAGCCTTGGGCCGCTGCATGCTGCTGTCTGGCAACATCAAACATGCCTTAGGTGCACAGACAGTGAGGGGTTCTTCTTGCCGAAACATGGAGACCCGCCCTTTGGTTGATTCCCATGGGCCGGAGGAGTTGTAGGATGTTGTAGTGATGGGTATGACCATGTATGACCGCCACTGTGAGTCACACAACCTCGTCCCTTACCTTGTCTTCAGCCCCGTGGGCCTTGGCAGAGCTCCTTTTAGTCCGAAGCAGCCAGGCCAGGTGGAACAGGGTGAGGCGGACGTGGAGAAGGCCGACCTGATCGCCAAGGACATCGGTGACCACCAACTGGCCGATGAGGCGGCACGGTCGGAGCAGGGCAGCGTTGGGGCCGTGGAGGTTGTGGGAGGATCGACATCGTGGGAGGTCGTGAAGGCGGCCGACGTGGCTCCTTGATGAATTAGGGAAAGGTTCTGAAATAGATGCACAAACCCAAGGACGAGATCAAAGACTCAATATATATATATATATATAAAATACATTCATATAAATATAAATTCGGTAAATATATATCGTATTTTTTATTCACATATATATCATATATTGTCCAAGAATCTCGTGTCTTTTCTCTGAAGCTTGACCTTCCGTCCTGCTGGCCGGAGGTCTTGTCCTTCCGGAAAGCACTGGAGGAGAAGAAGAAGGAACAAGAGCGGGCTGCTCAAGCGCAGCGCCTGGGCTGTTTACCCGTTGCTTTTCAAGTGCAGCGCTGGGTAATTCGATGATGACGGTGACGCCTGGTGTGGGTGGGCTGCAATCGAAGTGTGACCACCTCAGACTAGTCTGCGACCGTTTCCAAACCAGGAGTTTTTCACTTGCACATTGGTTGTTGAGTGTGTATCTGTAGGGTACGTATCCCCTCGCAGTTCATGGGAAGAAGTACAAATGTGATTCACCCCACGCTGTGCCCAAATACATTAATATATATATACATAGTCAGCAGGGCATGTTGGGTAGCAGTGGCTCCTGTATCGGGAAGCCCCGTCCTTTCTCTTTTGGGACATGATCAGCAGAAGCATTAGAAAACCCATCCACAATGAAGAACAAGTCAACACTCAAGCTGAACAAACCCTTTCCTTCATTGGAAAATCCTTGGTGCAAGGATTGAACAGCCACAGCTTGTGGCTCCCGCCCCTGGACAGCCAGCAGCTGCTGCTCCCGTGGTCGAGTCAGTGGCGGCACCGCCAGAGCAGAAGGTGCGCGGGAGTAGTTTGAAGCCTCCCATTTTGGAGGAACTGGACCTTTCTTAGATTCACAGCATGCATATCCATGGGAAGACATGCTCCAAACTTCAACCCCCAGATCAACCGTTTGGCCAAGGTTTTTTTCCTCGCATCACACTTGCTTTTGCGGACTTCTTCCACCGGGCTTCTTGTCTTCTCTTTCCGAACCAATAGCTCTGGACGCCGCCCCTCGTGTTCAGGGCTTGGATCCGGTCTACGTGCGCAAGCAGCTGGCGGCCATGGTGAAGGATGCGATTGCCAGTGACGAAGAGCTGGAACTGGACAGCCCCTTCATGGATGCTGGCATGGACAGCTTGTCCAGTGTAGCCTTGATGAGCATGGTGGCAAAGGACTGGGAGAACCGGGTTCAGAGAAAGGAAGAGAAGCAGGGAAGGACATTTGGAGTGGCCTGAAGAGAGGTGACCTCAGGGTGGCAGCCACAAGCCATTTTAGAAATTCAGGTTGATGCGCACCTCATTTGGATGGATGCAAATTCAACATCTTTTTTCAGAGTTTACTGTGTACCCAGAAGTGGGTAGACTCGGCGGTCACAGGGCCACCTGGGTCAGTTTTCTGGGCTCAAGCCACGCAATTCCATATTCCCTTTAAGCTTAGGATTCACCTAGAACGAGGTGGTTTTCATGGTCACAATCCCTCAGAATCCCTCAGAAAATGCCTTTCGTTCCCTACGGCCACACATTCTGAATGGCCCATGGGATGGGTCGCACAGGAGTTCCAGATGGCTTTGAGCCCATCGCTGGTTTTTGACTTCCCCACGTTGAGGCCGGGTTCGCGGGCGCAGGGGCGGGTGGTCTCCGGGCAGCCTCTGGACGGGGGATCCAAACGAAGACGAGTGGCTCCGGTGTTTAGAAGACGTGCTGCGCTCAGCTGCGCTCAGCCGCCCAGGTCAATGGAAGAGCACTTGGTGACTGAGAGTCTGAGCATGTAACGAGACGGCTGGTGGCTGGTTTGGCGCAAACCGGTGAAGGCGCCTTCACACGGCATCAGAATCTTCCCGATGCTGAAGAAGACATCACGTCGTACAGGGAACCTGTCGCTTCTTCTTAGTCTGCGAAAGCAAAAAGAGGCCGCTCTTAGGTTGAAGGTCATCACTCTTAGGTTGGAGGCCGTCGGTATTCGGTTGGAGGCCATCGCTATTATTAGAAACAAAGAAAAGGAAGGAACACAGGTCTTATAGTTTGCTTGTAGGTTGGGAGGTGGTGCGACCTTGCGGGAAATTGCGCACCACCCTCTTGGCGAAGAAATGGGCCTCTCGCCGAGCTGTTCACTCTTCGCTCGGGGAAGCCGTCAAGAGGTGTTTTCCTTCTGATTCCTTCGTGCATTGAAACGGAAGACGTCCCTGCCACTTGACAAGTGGCAGATCATGCCAGATCCATGCGGATCCCTGGCCATAGATGGGAAAGACCTCCTGTTTGACCTGAGGTGCACCGAGGTTGCGTATTTGGACCGGGAAGCTACCACCCCTTTCTGATCCATTTGCTTGATACCTTCGATGGTTCCTGTGTCCCACAAGCTGTGAGCGTTAGTGGCTCAAGGGGTTCCCAACCTTCGTCGTTGCAGCACCCACTCTGCCGCTACCATGGCTTTCGTTCGCAGCTTCCGCCGCTGTGCTGAGAAGGCCCATAATTACCTGAGCTAGCCAGGAGAGCTCTTTGGTCGATCTGACCGACTTGCCATTGTCTACCTTTCGACTGGCTCCCAGTAGAATTTCAGAGAACATATGCTCACCGTCATTGCTTATCACATGAATTGCAGTATTATCCCTTACCAAGAAGTATCATGCCCTGGTTGAGGTGCCAGATGTCTTCATGCAGTTCGGCTTGGAGCAGCAGTTCCGATTTGTCAGTTCCCAGCTCAGTTTGCGCGGAAGGCAGCAGACCGATTGCGCGCGGACCGGTGGTGGAACCTGCCGCAGGTCATCCCGGCATCATGGTGGTCTCAAAGCTCTTGGAAATGAGGACGAACTTGCAGATGGTCTGGTGGTGGGATGGAATCGCACAGTGACCATGTCCATCTTGGTCCGGGGTTCTTGATGCGGTGTTTCTGTGGAATCTGCGTAATTAAGAGAAGACACTTACAGATCAACCGCATTTCTTGAGAATTTTAGGCAATCTTGGTCCATGGACACTCAGGCATCCAGTTTTTGTGTCTCCATGGTTCAGTGATCTTTCTGTCGTGGTTTCCCCCATAGTGCTTTGGACCTTGTAATATCAGGGGGTCAACGAGCTCGCTGCGTTGATGGCACTCAGGACCATTGCCCAGATGCGTGCGTCCTTTTCGCAGGAGACCGACCGACCTGCGTCACGGTGCGTTCAAACGCCTGTTTCGGTGAATGTACTCCGTCTGAGCTTGTCACATTGGTGTCATGTATGGTCCAAGAGATTGAGCCGCAATGAGGGGGTTGGGTAGTTCACGTCCTGATTGATCAGGGTTTTTCCAAGGGGTTTATGGATGTCCATGGTCCATCAGGCTCGTGCAGCTCGTTGCACCCAGGACAACATCGAACAAATGAAGAATTTTGATCCGGAACTTGCCCGAAAAGCGCAGATCGCATATGACAACAAGGCCCAGGATGTGGAAGGATGTCAGGGACTTGTGGAATCTTGTGGAGGTGCACAGGTTCTATTCTTGGGAGGGAAATGTCTAAAGAAGAACATAACTTACAAAGTCGACCCACGGCCAAATACAGCGGTTTGATGCATGTACCACTACAACGTTCCTCCCCTACCAGAAACTCCATTCTTTCCTGACCTGACAGGAGGACATGTCGGATAAAGCCGAAACCCGAGCCAAGAATTCAGACCTCGATTATCGCGCTTCCCATTGGCTACAAAAAAGATACTTCACAGACTACACGGGCCGGGGCGACGGGAGATGCTGGTGACCCCAAAACGGTGGACCCTTCTGTCTGCCGTCCACGAAACACTCCCCCCAGTTGCCGGTGAATTTCCAGCAGCTGGAGCTCATTGAGGTGCAATGTGGGCGCGAGCACACATGCGGAACCGCGCGAGGGTGGCAGAGTGCAACTGGGAGGTTTTGAGAGACCGAAGAGGTTGGGGTGTTTTAGATGGAAGATTAGATCAGATCACATATTCTACTACAATTTGTTATATAAGCAATTGCTACAACATGCTACCACAGTATTTCCATGTATTAATTCCATATTGTTCATTTCCTTTTTGGCATCTATATACCGTTTTGACCAGGGCTCTAGAGTTATTTTTTTCCCGAATGCGTAGCAAAGGGTTCCCGTTTATAGTCTGGGGGTCTGGGGGCGACCTGTGTTTGCATCGTGTGTGTCGTCGGGTCGTCGGGTCGTTGTTAATTCCCTGACAGTGCTTTGGGATGGAAGCATAACGCGTCAGATTTGCGTGAAAAAGCGGGGACACGTGCTTGTATGGAAACATATTATGTTGAAGTGTGGAGGATGATTTTGCTGCGCAGGTGCAGCGTTTTGTGAGATCCTCAGTTTCCTTCACTGTGAGAGTGAGATTGGCGTTGAGGGTGGTATGTTTGAGGTGTTGGATGTCGCTGTAACAGTGGGGTTTGGGTTTCGGGCTATTGCTTCGAAGTTGTTTCGTGACAGGTCTCAGCAAAAGCTGCGACTCTGGTGGATGTGAGCATGCTCAGAAGTGTTGAAATTATTCCCCTCCGGGGGGGAGGCTTGTGGATTGGATGGAAGCCTTGCAGTACGGGAAGCAGCCTCTGGGAGCTGGCTTGAGAAGTACCAATGTAGTACGGGGAACAGCTTGTGGAAGCTGTGGCCTGGCCTCAGAGCTGGCCACTTGGTAGTGCAAATGCAGTACGGGAAGCAGCTTCTGGGAGAGCGTGTGTGCACTCGGGTTCGTGGGCGCCATCTCCTTTTCTTCTGGTGGACTCTTAGCTTACACCGGCAAAGAATCCTAAGAAGCCATGGCCAAAGGAACGACATGCGGGGCCCCACATCCCCGGACTGTTTGTGACCGGGCATGTTCGAGCTGTTTTGTCAGCGACAGCTCTTATCGGAGGACATTTTGCCGCGGCTGCTGGAGGAGAAGAAGCAGCTCGAGGCCTGACACAGAGCCTTTGTGTGCGTTTTCAACCAGGATCTGATCCTAAAGACAATGCCAGGATTTGCAAGATCTATTGTTGAGCTGGGCTCGCCAGCCATAGGTACAAGGAACCAAAATATTTTTTAAACACAAAAAATCAACAGGTAAAACAAACAAAAAACAACAACATGTAGCTGTGTTTGTTTGTGTGTTTTTTTCACGTTTTTCCGCTTTATTTTGAGGGTGGGTGTGCTTGGGAGAGCACACACTAGCTAAAAACCCGTAGAAAACACTGTAAATACCGTGCAAAATTTCAAAAACTGCTCTGAGAACTAGGCGAAACGCAAATTTTTTGATGTGTCTGTGCCCAGTCTCCATATCCAATGTCAATGACAACAACAAATAACAGCCCTATCTCCCTTTGCCTGTCAATGTGTAATACCAAAAAAATTATCAGTTTCAGTTTGATTATTGTATATATATATATATCAAGATAAACATATATGTCAATGATACTGCTTGATTTTCTTGCTTATGTGACTTTTTATGATGTAGTTTTATGTGTTCTTGTTGTAAAAAATGCAATCAAAAGATAGCCACAAAGGTGCCTTCATCTTTTGTTGACATCTGTATTCATCTCTGTTCATCTGCCTCTACCAAAGCCTTTTGGTCCCAAATCGTAAAAGCTCATACCAGACGAATCATGGCAGCAGATGGCAATGTCAGTTTTGAGGATGCGTTGAATGCGACCAATTATTTGAAATTGGTCAATTTAGACAAGGGTCCACAATTCTTGGAGTCCCATATGTGTTCTGGCCACTTCGATGCTACTGGTGAATTGGGCTCTTGGGGTTGTTGAGCTGCTTGGTGATCCATCGTAGGTGTATGTTCTTTACATTCTCCCTTGGCCCTTCTTGCTCGATGAAGTCGAAACCACGATCTAAATCGTCTGCATCTTGCTCATGAAAATTGAAGGCTTCAGAGCTGTTGCCTTCAGGCTTTAAAGCTTGACACATGCAAATAAAGCCTCCCCTTCCAACTTTCATGTTGTGGATCATGTACACAATTGCCTTCACGACGTTTTTGACATTACCTTCCCATGTGAATGCGTAGAGATCACCATGGGAGATGGATTTGATGAATGATGCCTTGACCTTCTTGTCTAGGTTGATGTCTTTCAGCAAAAGCTTCTTCCCATCTTCTCGTGTGAAGAGCACCCAGTTGACCTTTACTGCCATGCCAGGAGACGATTTGAATCCGAATGGAGGAGGTAGGTCATGGAATCTCTTTTCCAAAAAGATTTGCTTGAGCTGCTCGTCTGAGCGTCTTGTAGAAAAATCTCTCAGGAATCTTGCCAATGATGGTGTACTTGCTCAGCTGGTGACTGACTTTCACTTCACACTCGCTGATGTCAATGTCTGTGCCCTCAAAGAAATCATTCCCATACTTCGCCTTTGTAGGGAGAAGTCTCTTGGGTTTCATGGCACGGCGGGCTTTGGCAAGACACCTTTGGCCCGCATCATTTGCATGGCCTTCTCCAGGTATTGGGTCAACAAAGTGAAATCAAAAGACGACCAGGATTTCGCACGGCCAGCGAATTTGATTTTTTTTTCGTGGCCAAGTGGGTCGTCTGACAAGGCCAGACTTGTTTGATGATGGAACCTTCCAAGATCAATTGATCAAGAAATTGAAGGCCTTTGCTGATGTTGGCTTGGAAGAAGCCATGACGAAAGAAAGGTGGGGAGCCGCCAAGTTCGTAATGCAGCAGCTACGTGTGTGGTGTGTAAATGACTTCGACGCCAATGCCGAGCCCAAAGATAACATGGCACCTGACACTAACAAGTCTGCGATCACCCATCAAGAGTTCTTGGATATGTTGGCACTGGCGTGGCCCAAGGACACCTCGAAGGAAAACATTCTTGCCGCGCTCAAGAGGTCCAGCATTTGCGTCAACGCCCGCACACACAATCACACTTACCTCTATGTTCGCCCAGCAGGTGACAAAGAGGTGTCTGTGCAGCGTGTCCGTCTTCCTGCAGATGCTTCTTTTCCTTCTTTTCTGCGCCCAGTCGCAGGTGAAAGGTATATACAGTATCGGCATGGCAACAAGGAGCCCCATTCAAGCTTTCAAGAACAGCTTGACTGGGAACAGGCTTGGCTCACTGCACTTTTGGAAGACAAACCTCTACCACCATGGCTGCTGTCTGTTCAAGGGCATGGGTTGTTCACGGACTCCTCCACAGAGTTGCCGCCAGTACCTTTGTCCCCTTTGTCACCCATCCGTTGCAAAGAGGAACCAAATGAGACACCATCAAATGTCTTCAAGCGCTTGGTTTCTCAAGCCTTCCATGAGCCCATCGACTTGGACACCCCTTCGCCTCAAAAGCCACTGAAGCAAGTGAAGGTTGAGGTCTCTTCGAGCCCATCCACGGCACCAGTGCTTGCTCAGCTTCACGGTCAACAACGTGATCCAGCATCTGAAGAACATCCCTTGCCTGATCATGAGCAACATGAGGAATGTGAACCTGCTTCTGCTGAACATCCTCTAGCTGACCATGAAGAAGATGAACAAGGTGGTGAACTTCCCTTGCCTGACTATGAACAAAATGAACAATGTGGTGATTCGTCTCATGAACACGATGGCAATCAATGTGAATATGCGCCTCCTGTACCTGTTCATGACCCTACTGATCTTCACTCATCTGAAGTCCATAGTTTACTGAATGCAAGAACTAATTTTAATGTTTTGTTTTTTAATAGACTTCAAGTTGCAATTGATAACTGTTCGTGTATACCCCTTGTAGTTATTTTTTGTACATGTAATTTGTAAAAATGTACAGTTGTAAGCAGTAAGGCTTGCGTGCAATGTCACATCTACTACATGCCTCATGAAGCTCGTGATGCTCATCGGGTCTGTTCCGCATGTGGAACGCCTTTGCAGATTGGAGGCGTCTTCTCTTCCATCCAACAACAGCCACCAGATGATGAAGGTGATGAAATGGATGTGGATGAAGATGTTTCTGGCGGTGCATCTGCAGACGGAGAAGGCTTTAAAAAGGTCCGTGCTATCATTGCTCTTCAAGCTCTAGGTGTACCAATCGCTGTCTCCTCCAACGGGCCCTTTAGAGTCTCACAATGCTCACACAATGTGTGTCCCTTCTCAATCCTTTGGGTGCAACGTTGAAGGCAGTGCGAGCCTGTGAAATTGGAATAGACGGAAAGTACTTGGTCCACCCGGCTGATGATCAGCATTTCTTTGCAGCATCTGTCTTGGAGGGGATGGCTGTAATTCATGATGATGGAACGAAAAGGAATACATCATTAGCTGAACTTCATCGAATCATACTTTCCAAGGAGCACAGTATCTTCAGACTTGTTCTCCTCAAGACGCACTTGTCTCCTTTCCCTCCTGCTGTTGACGTTGAAGGTGGAGCTTCCTCAATGAAGAAGGTGAGCACTCACTCCACGTCTTTGTCTTTGTGCAGATGTGGATGGAAACTACAAAAGCACCATACTATCCAGGCTGTCGTCTATGATCTGACTGGAAAGGAGCGTGTACTTATCGATACCAAGCAATGTAGAAACTGCAGTATGGAATATGGACCCAATTTCCGTCGTCGCAGTGGTGATCTCCTCAACACGGTTGTGGTTTCGCCCATGGGTTTGGAGCAGGTTTTGTTCATCAACTCCAAGGTAGGCTTCACCATTCGATACTTGAAATACCATGCTCATCTACTTTTCCGTTGCGCTGCCTCTGCCAGAGGGTTAGAGTGGTGCTATGAGAAAACCTTTTTCGATGGATGTGGCGATAAAATGGGTTGGGAAGGCAACTTCAGGAAATTGCATTACGATGCTCTTGTCTACTACATGGTTGCCATTGAATGGGAGAAGATTGGCAAACATACAAGCCTTGCCATTGGAAATGAACTCAATGAAGAGACCCTGAATCAGTATGACCACTTCTGCCATGAGAATCTGTTTCCTCCATCTCGTCGAAACAAAGTCACTG